CTTTACCTGACGGGTTTCTCTTGAAAATAAAAATGAATTGGTACATGAGCGCAAATATTTATGGGACATCGCAATGACTCGATATTGAAAATCACCAAATTCGTTCCTTTTTTTAGTATCTCATTCACCCATATCCTCCTTCTTTTTTTGCAAAGGGTTAGTCGTCGAAAGAAGGTATTTTGTCGAAAATATAAATCCCGAACCGACATTTCTACTGTTCCTGCAACTGATGCTCGTAACTTTGCGATCTCAGTAATTTTGTGAACAAAAAAACATATTATAGCTTCTATCGCTGGAAGACTTAAAAAATTACGCTTTTAATGAAGCCGTGTTCAACTGTGGTTTCCATTTAAAAAAAAATATATGTTTGTGTCATATGTTAAAAATGACAGACTATTGAAAAAAAACGGAGAATACAACTTCATTAAGGATGCGAATATCTACAACTTATATCTGAAAACTTTTTGTCTATAATGGGTTATATTGGAATTAGGGAACATTTTTAAAATAGCCGCAATTTGTTTTTTTAAATATCTAGTAAGCCATAATTTTTTTCAAAAATCTGAAAGACGCATATTTTTGACCTCACAAAACTGCAATTCTTTCCCCATTTACCAGACACTCTATCTCATTGACAATACAGTCTCATTGAGGACATAATTATCTACAACTTTTATCTGATTAACGTTTTGTCTAAAATGCATTATAATGGAATTAGGAAGCATTTTTCAAATAGCCGAAATTTGTTTTTTTTCGGAATGCCTAGTAAACTGTAAATATTTTCAAAAAATCCGGAAGGCGCATATGTTTGTCCTCACAAAACTGCAATTCTTTCCCTATTTAACCCAATCTCTAGCTCCAGTAGTTTCCGAGATACCCATAGAGAACATCGTAGAAAACTCACCCTGTATGTTACCGGTACAATATAAAATTAAGTCATTCTGTATAATACCTAGGTATTCTATAAAATGACTACGACTTCAGGCAATGTATGTATATTTAAATGTTATAATACAATAATAATTATATGTTTAAATGTTATTATACCCTTTACCCAGACATTTTATGAAATACCTGGGTATTCCATAGAATATCTATACAGGGTGTTTCAAAAAACATATGCCATCTCTCGTGGGGAGATTCCTCAAGTAAAAATAAGATTTATTTTTCATATCAACATAGGTCCGATTCTGCTTTGTTTTGTAGCTACAGGGTGTTAGCCTTAATATTTTTTCAATTTATTACAATTTCCTTTCAAGTACTTTTAGCGTTTCGAATAAAATTTTGAAGGGAAAACTTACTATAAATGCGACATATTTTAAAGCTAAAAAAGTCTCGACATATTCACCAGGGACGTGCATATGGTGTTATCACTGGAATATTTTTCTAAAAAAAGCATGTACGCCACTGACTTTTTTTCTCTTGTTAGCGAAATAGTGTAAGCAGTTTAATGCCGATTAAAATTCTCCTTGATGAGATAAACGTAATTTTATTAATTTGCTTTGATCCGGGTCTAACAACAGCAACCTTTAAAAAAAATGTAATATTATTAACTTGCATAAGTTTCAAATAAGTACCTACTCGTTGATTCCTCATAAAAAATATGAAAAAAGGTTCCTATAAATATGTGTATCGAAATGCATAGTTTTGAGTTACAGGAAACTTTTTAAAATTAGTTTTTTTGTAATTATTTTAAATATCATTATCTTTTTATTTGAAATTGCTGTATGGTGGACTAATAATAATATTTAATAATAAATTAAGGTAAAATATATAATTTATTTATTTTATTTTTATTCTAATTTTATTAATTTTGATCAATAAAATTACGTTTAGCACATCAAGGAGGCCGAATTCGACAAAATATCAAAAGATAATTTAAAAAATTGGAGGGATAATTAAAAAATTGGCATTAAACGGCCTACACAATTTTGATATCAAAAGAAAAAAGTCAGTGGCGCACATGTTTTTTTTTGAAAAATATTCCAGTGATAACCCATATGCACGGCCCCGATGAATTTATCGACTTTTTAACATTAAAATATGTAGCACTTATAGTAACTTTTACCCTTACAATTTCATTCGAACACTAAAAGTACGAAGAAAATTTTAATAAATCGAAATATTATTAAGACTTTAACACCCTGTAGCTACAAAACAAAGCAGAATCGGATATATGTTGATATGAAAAATAAATCTTATTTTTACGTGAGGAATCTCCCCACGAGAGATGGCACGTTTTTTGAAATACCTTGTATAATATTAGGAAAGGTATGAGATAAAAAATAATAAAAGTATTAGTCAAACTGTTCCTTGAATTACTTATAGAAAATAACAGAATGTATGTGTTTTTGTAATTCGCACGTATCCGCATCCATTGTGAGGGAAGCCTAAAGCTGCATCTACATTGATCGCGAGCAGGCCGAACGAACAGGTGAAATACGAAAAACATGGCAAACAGTCGGAGCGAGATGTTCGCGGTGCTCCACGTGCTTGCGATCTCATAAAATGCCTGTTTTGACTGTTTGGCTCTGTCGCGGTACATCAAAAAGACGTGAAAGAGACGATTCGGAGCCATGCGAGCATACGTTACGGCGCAGCGGTTCAAAGCGCTCGAGCTGTTTCCGTTGTTTGTTAAGTTTTTAGTGTCATTCATAGGATTCGGTATTTACTGCAGTATGATGATTTTTCTTATTTTATTTTGTTCAAAATTACAAATATTTGTGTTTTGTTCCTGGATTAATAATATTAAATATACCTTTAATAAAATATAAATCTATATTTATATTGCCTACTTATCTTAATCTGATCTTTGAGAACTTTATTTATAGTTTGGCATACGCCTGTTATTATTTTTGAAATGCCTTGCTTGGAAACATTGAATAAATAGCCCAAACTGGTATGTGAGTATCTAGTTGCAAAGAATCCTAATCTTATGGCCAATCTTTATTTAACTCTTTCTTTAACCTTAATACACTTCCTAAAAGTTGTATCTTTCCTTTCTATACGGGGCCAACTAAGTTAATAAGTCTTTCAAAATCAGTAGCGGACATGCGATACAAAATATTAAAACATTCTCTCTGTTTGTAAATCGCGTAGATGTTTACTTTCACTGTGCTTGGATCTACTTTTGAAATTATTAGACATCCAACACCGCCTTTTTTTCTCTTTGTCTCCTTCGTTTTGCAATAATGATCGCACTAGCAGCCGCTATTGAAAATACTTCATCATCCATGTCCGAACAGCCTGAACGCAAGCACTAAACCGTATTCAAATTCAAAATGCACCAGTATAAACAAATGCACAGTGCGTGATCAGCACGTGTCAGGTGAGAGCCAGCGACGAAATCTACCCTGATTGGCCGGCCAGCCATAGAGCCGTTGAGGTAGGCGGTTGAGATTTTTTACAGGGTCGGCTTGCATAGCGCGTTAAGGAATACTCTTTGATAAAATAAAATTTGATAAAATATTTTTTTTTCAAAAAAAATGTCGTTAGACTTTAAAACGGATAATACAGCAGGCTACGAAAGTAAGTTAGAACTAAGTGCTTTTTTAGTAAACAAAAATGTATTAAATTATGTAAAATGTTTACATCATTGCATTTTTTTGCAAATAGTATTATAGAAACAGATACCTATGTATACCGATATTCAGATATTGCTGTCAATAATGGCAATAAAAAAAAATCAGTAGTCCCAAATAAAAAGATAATTATTTTAAAGGACAAATTAAGCCCTTTTAAAAAACACCAAGTTTGTTAAAATCGGTCGTGCCAAAGAATGATTATTGGGAAAACTGGAAATCGTCCGATTTTCACCAAAATTGGTATACACCCTATTTTAAAGTCGTAGATTACGAATTTGAACTTTTTTTCCTGGCGGTCTCTTACCGTTTTTCAGAAAAACGGAAAATAGTCTCAACATAGAATTTTTCTTAATTTCTCATATTTTTAAGGTTTTCTAGCACATATTTTGTTAGGTATTCGATAAACAATGAGGTTTTTGCTATTTTCTGTTACTTTTTTAACCAATTCTATGCATCATAGATATATTATATGCTCCGCATAGAAGTTGAAAGCAATGCAATCAAAACTCTTTCGCGTAACTTTGTGGATATAGGTATATTTAACTATTGTCAGATCACATAATAGGTAATTTATTTAAAATCCCTAATCACCCGAAAAAATACAAGATATGGCAACGTTGTAAAATTTCAAATTTCTAGATTAGGTCTAGAATATATTTATCTCTCTCATTACATAGGAGAGAGAAAGAAGAATATGAAATGTCGAACTTCCATCTGGTCTCAATTTTATTATTTTGTTAAGAAAAGTGGAAATAAAATTTTGGATATTTTTTTATCCTCAATCAAGTGTGGCTTTTAGATAAACTATGATATAATGAAAATATAATGAAATTATTACTTTATAGACCTAAATAAAGAAGAATTCAATGTTGAAATTATTTTCCGTTTTTCTAAAAAACGGTAAGAGGTCGCTGGTTGGTTCAGATTCGACAACAAACAATCTACGACCTCAAAATAGAGTGTATACCAATTTTGGTGAAAATCGGACGATTTCCAGTTTTCCCAATAATTACCCAATTAAATAATATAAATTTTCATCATAAAATATAAGCAATAGTAAAAAAAATCATAAAAATATACATAATAATTTTATGATTTGAAATATCCGACCTTAGTGCGGTCCTGGTTATATTACTACAGCGTTCCTGTTCACGTGCTTGCCGCATGTCACTGTTTACGTTAGGTGCACCTTGGGGTTGAATTTACTATACATTGCAATGTGGACGCCGTTGCTTGCGAGCCGAAAGATCTTGAGAGAAACAGGAAGAAACACGACAAACAGGAAGCGCAAGCAACGCAAGCAACGCAAGCACAATCAGAAGCAAGAGCGCGAGCAGGATCACGAGCAACGTGGACGCACCTTAATAATAAACAGCGTCTCGTAGCAAAATGAATCGGCGGCAATTAGAGATAATGATTGCCTCCGCAACAATACTATATATAATAATCTCTAGGTCGACAACGTAGTTTTAATGTTTATTTACAACATTGTCAAGATGCATTACGCTTTGCAAATAGTAGCGGCTGTTGTCGTAGTGTTCTTTACCGTTAAATTTTTGAGTGTTTTTCGAAAAAGGAGGAAGTTATCATGGATACCATCGGCGCCGCGGTTGCCCATTATAGGGTCACTGTTTGAAGTAGGGGAGAATTCAACGGGTATGATAAAATATTATTAATTTGGTATTTGAATAAATCTAACTAAATGATATTATTATGTGCAGTAATAAATAATTTAAAAATACATTAATTAAATTTTAAAATTAAAAATATAAACAAACAAAATCCCATTACCATTGTAATCTCGAAGCCGTTAACCTTATAATAATGTGATAATGCTTGTTTGTATTTTTCGGTTTAATTGGTGTGAAACGTATTTTTTCGACAAATAATTTGTATTTCCAAGGTCATTTCTAATCACATCAAAAATCCTCAGTCTCCTTATTGCTAAAGTCCTTACCTAATAAGTTATTAGATAAGTGTATCAAGATAAATACAAAACAAGGTAAGTGTCTAGAGTGCAAAACATTAGTCATTCATTAGATTATTTTTTGATTCATTTAAACTCCTACACTTTTGCTAACAATTAACTGAAAAAAATAAGTTTAATTTTAATAATATTTACAATAATTTGCATAAATTTGTCTAAATTTATAAAATTTTATAGAAATATATTGTTAGTTGATTTTCTACGAAGATATGAGATATTAAAAGTTAAAAAATGTTAACAAGTTAAAAAAAAACAATGTACCCTGTATATTGTTTTTTGAATCGAGGCGTCAAGTTGCAAAACCCGCCTTATCCATTTAAAAAAAATGGCTTAATGACCATATATTAATAGTGGGACCCTCAAATCTACATAAATATAAGCCAAAACTACAGTAAAAGTGGCCTATCCCTGTATAAAATTCACTACAAATTACGTTACTGCAGCAAAATCCGTCTTATCCACCATATTTGCTTTTTATTGCCATTATTGTTACAAATCTCGCATGTATTTAGACGTTTTGTACACAAGTATAATATTACTACTGACGTCTTTTCAAATCCTTACTTAATTTTATTAAAATAGTATATTATTTAATAAATCCAGTTAGGGTGCAAATACAATACGATCGAAAAAAAAAACGGCGTTTAAATAATTATTGTGAGGCCCTTGTTATTGTCATCCCTGCCAATTTCTGTAAAATTGAATTTATTTTGTGCTTATCTTAGTATTATCCTTGTTTAAATATTCTTAGAGTTGTTCAACCGACTAGACAAATTGTGCTGCCAACTGGAGGACAAATCGTGAACCTTTCGGGGCGGAGTCAAAAATATCGATTATTTTCGTTATTTTCCTCAGAGTAATGTAATAATATAGCCCCGGGTTTCTACGAACTTTAATAGCGATCAGCTGATTATGAAATTTAAACGAAACTTTTATTTTATTGTAAATTGTGGATTATTTTTGCCTGTTATTTTAAGAATTCTAAGCCGTATTAACAAAAAAATTATTATTTCGATATGTTGGTACATTATTTATAATTTATGATAATGCTAATTGCTGTTAATTAATATTTAAAAAAAAGTTATATACCTATTTTAATTTGATTTAATGCAGGTTTATAAAAGAATCATTTCATTCTTAGATTATTTTATTCTAAATTGAGTGCTTTACCAATTTTACGATATTTTTTTTGAAAACATAAAACTTTTTACATTTTTGATGACAACTAATTGGCATGGTATTATTGGTATGAGAATTAGCCAAGAAAGAAAAGAATTGGCTATAACTTGTAATTTTTCGAAAAAAACATATTATACCTATATCGCTGAAAAGCTTAAAGAATGGGGCTCTTTATGAAGTCATGGCCAACTAGGGTTTCCATTTAAAAAAAACATAATGTTTGTGTCATATGTCAAAATGACAGGCTTTTTAGAAAAAAACAGAAAACACAAACTCATTAGGTATGTGATTATCTACAACTTTTATCTGAAAACTTTTGTCTAAAATACCGTGATGAATAAAAAACGGCGTCAGCGATGGCTATGAAATGACGATCGATGATATTTTCCATATAATTTTACATATAAAATGACAACGATCTTCATTTCATAGCCATCGTTGACGCCGTTTTATCGATCATACGGTAGATTATAATGGAATTAGAGACAAGTTTTAAAATAGCCAAAATTTGTTTTTTTTCGTAATATCTAGTAAGCCTTGAACTTCACCGAAAATCCGAAAGGCGCATATTTAAGACCCCACAAAACTGCAGTTCTTTCCCCATTTAACCGACTCTCTGTCTCCAGTAGTTTCCGAGATACCCATAGCGAACATCGTAGGAAACTCACCCTGTATAGTATTTAGAAACTAACTATTATTATCATTTGACTAGATTTATTTGATTAATAAGACTCGATTAATTTATTTTAAAATAAAGTTGATCAGATTTTTTTTTCGTATATTCTACTACCAGAAAACCAAAATTATATGATAAGCACTTTTCAAAGGAGTTGAAAGAAGATATAGTGTATCTATCACAATACTTAATAGGATTACTACAATTAGAAGAAAAACAAAAAGAAAAAATACCCAAATACCTTCACCACTCATCTACAAAATAAACGAATATAATCTCTTATAAAAACACTACACAACTACTTCTTCTACTTTACACTGAAAAAATGATCAAACTTACTAATTAACCAAACAAAAAGAAAAAATAACTAAATTATCCCTTCAATTCATCCTACTACTTAACTACAAAATAATAAACTATAAAAACACTACTAAACTAATTCTGGTATTCTACACTAAACATTATAATTAAACTTAATAAAATTAATCTAATTACTACAACCACAACAACTACAAAGAAATAAGAACATTTTTTAAAACTAGAAGAAACAGAACTTCGATACGTGCGACCAGTATAATAGATCAAGCTGACAAAGAATATAAAATACTTTAAAAATGTGCATTCAGAAAGAAAAAATATCTCGAAAATTATCTAAACAAACAAGTTTTTTTCTTATCAGTGAAAAGCATCGGCCTCGTCGGCCTTGCGGAATTTGTCGGGTATTTACAATGGTCGAATTGAATAATTACCAGCTTTTATAGCATATCTAATAGACAAAAAGTATCTGGTCGACTAGTAACCAATTGGCACAGTCCGAAAATTATCGATTTTTATTTTCTCTGTTTTTATTGGTCGCTTCAAAATTCAGAGTAACAAAAAATATTTTTCTGTAGTAAAAGACTGTGAAATACGCCCCGCCATCTGGTGCTTTACATCCATAAACGTCTTAGGTTGAGCTACTTTAAAAATTCATATACAAGGGTATTATCTAAGCTTATCTTAGTATAAACACCTAGAAGTCGAATAATCAGTGAAAAGGAAAAACAGAAACAGTTAATCTACAGTTATTGGTATTGTAATATGTATCAAAAAGACACGGGTAAAAAATTTAATTGCCAATCTTCCAGTTGGCTAGAAAATGACGATCGATGACATTTACCATAAAAATGTTCATATAAAATGATAGCGTTCTTCATTTCATAGCCAATATGCTTCCCAATATACTGCAACAAAATTATTATATATATAATTATACTGGAACAAAACCCGCCTTATCCGAATAATTTTTATATTTTTTCTGTTTAAAAATTAAATATTAATTTTTATTTCGAGATAAACGAGATACGAAACAATTAATCCACTCAATGAGCACTCAAAACAGTTTTTACCAAACCAAACAACATTTGTGGGATAACAGCGTTTTCAGATGGAGCGGAGCGTCCGCGACGGACCGCCCGCGACATCGAGCAAGTATCATGAGTTTATATGAACGATTTCACATGGGTTGCGTATGCTCCGTCCGGATGAGCTGTATTGAAACAACATCCGCGCGGACGCTTCGCGCGTACGGTCCATACGGTTCCATCTGAAAACGCTGTAAGACGGATTTTGCAACTTGACGTCTCAATCAAACTCGCTGTCCTGGGCTAGTAGAAGGAAAATATAAAATAAAAATGGTGCCAGTGAAGCCTATTTTACTCTGCAATACTTTTTTTATTTAAATTATTTAAATAACAACATATTTCTTTAAACAACTATTAGATATACGAGTTTAAAAAAGATATCTATCTACCGATTTGGAAACTACACAGTAGGAAACTTGGCGGATGTAACGTCAAAATTATTTTTCCACGTTTATACCATTTTCAATATTTATTTTTGCATTTGCATATCCAACATTCCATTTTTATTTTCATAAAACGCGATTACCTGAGAGAGTCGAATTCACCCTATACTTTTATACGTAATGAGAAGTTATTACCGGAGTACTATCCTACAACATAAAAAGTTACGGGATTTTAAAACAGATTAATACTTATTATATTTAAAACAAGTTAATATTTAGTGATACTTTTATTTACAAAACAGATTTTTATGAAAAAATACATCACTTTATACTAATCTTGTGCATTTCCGGAAAATTGCCGGAAACCAATGGCTAAAGTGACATTGACCGAAAGGAAATCACCGGCACCAAAACGAAGATTGCCGTAATGGAAAATTGCCATACCAACGTTGAAACATATTTTTAGCACTTTTTTTCAGTAAAATTACAGTTTTTCTGTAAATTTACAATTTTTTTGTAAATTTACACTATTTATGTAAATTGCGAATTATACTACCCAGCAAGACGACATCTCGGCATCGACCTGTTCGTTACTCAGTACTTAAAAGGGCAACTCAACAGGCAGCGAACAACGCTATTCTCGGCCGCTTAAGTTGACATTGTGCCGACGAAGTACTTACAGATATTCATCATAAATTATGGACGAATACATTAAAACCTACTTTCAAATCGCATTAAGTCACAAAGCAATTTTGACATAATATCTGATAGAGGACGGTTATGTCCATAGATAAAAGAAAATAATCTTCTATTAAGATAGATATGAAACTTAATAGTAAAATTTTGGGTCAAAGCGCCCCTCCGTGTTCTTAGTAGAGACTACGTTTAACCCAGCGCCTTTGCCTTTTCTGCTGTATATATTTTTTATGTTTATATTTGATTTCAAAGGATTTAGTTTTAAAGTTACACTGATATATTAATATATCAGAGTAACTTTAATAAAACATAAGAATATATATATTTTACAG